ACCATTCGGCCCCTCAAGACTGCTCCACCATTCGGCCCCTCAAGACTGCTCCACCATTCCAGAAGATTATGACCGATCGGTTTGCATTTAGAATTCAACATTCCCATCTACCCGAATAACCTTCGATTCTCTTGCCTAATCCATCTAATTCTGCTTTAAAAGATATTCAATGGCCCATCTCCACCATCTTCCGAGAGTTCCAAAGTCACGTGAACCGTAAAAACAAATTCTCATGATCACTTTCCTAAAAGGGTGACCCTAATTTTAAAAACAGCCCCCCTTAGTTCTGGACTCAATGCACAGGAAGAGACATCCTTTCCGCACGCACCTTGTGAACTTACACACTTCAATCAAGTCACCCTCACTCTTCTAAACTCCAGTGAAAATGAACCCAGTCGGTCCAACCTATCACCATAAGGCAACTCATTCAGATCAGCTTGATGAGTAAACTATGGTTAATGTTAAAGAAGGGACTGGTACACAGATCACTCTTTTATATCCAATACATAAATGATTTAGACAGATGCATATGGTTCAAATTCAAAATTTATAGATAATACAGAGCTTGGAAGCACTGGGAACTGACAGGAGGTTTATCACAGACTTCAAGAGGACAGAGGCAGGTGAAAATTTAATGCACAGGAGTGTGAAGAGATATATTTTGGCAGAACCAGTAAGGAGGGGCACTAGAAAATAATAGGCACAACTTTAAAGAGGGTGTGAGAAGAAAATAAACAGGGATTGTGTGTGCACAGAAGTTGGAGGTGAGAGGGCAGTTGAAAAATTGGTTAAAAAGGCACAATATTCTAAGCTTTAAAGATGGAGACAAAGTACAAAAGGCAAGGAAATTATGATTGACCCATACAGAACATTGGTTCAGCATCTGCTGGAACAATGTAAACAATTCTGAGCCCTGAATTTTTGGAAGAATCCGAAGGCACTGGAAATAGTGCCAAGGGGAAAAAAAAAGTCAAAAAAAAACTCTTCCAGGAGGAGACTAAGTACTGTTGTTCCAAGCTGACGGACAGAGATGATCAGGAGAAACTGTTCACATTGGCAGAAGGGTGAAGACCCAAAAGACACCAATTTCAGGTAATTCTCAGAAAATTCAATATAGTGATGAGGAAAACCCTTAGTTTTCACGCAGTGGGTTAAGACCTGAAATGTGCTACATATGGTGGAAATTCTATTGTGGCCTTACAAAAGGAATTAGAGAAGTACCTGAAAAGAGAGAGAAGGAAAAAAAAATTGAGGGGTTATGGGGAAAAGGCAGCAGTGAGAGATGAGCAGGGTTGCTCTTGTGGGTAGCCAGAAGGCACATGGTGTGATGAATGGACTCCTCCTGTAGCACCACTTAAGCACAAGGTGCATACATGGTCAAAATTATTTTTCTGGTGAAGAATGTAAAAATCTTTCCCTGGGTTTGCCCCTTACCCTTATGGACCCTATCAATTACAGCTCAGCGGGGAGATTACCAGTTCACAAGACTCTGCCTACACTGCATTTTTATCACCTTTGGGCAATGCATTCTTTCTCAAACAATTCTTGCCTTGTGGGCAATTTCCCTGGTCTTTCATTGATGTGAATATGACTAAGATTAGCAAATTTAGCCCAGAACCATGCCTCAGCATTGCATGATGCTGTGCGTCGGAACTGTCATCAAACTATGACAAGTTTCACACACATCTCATCAAAAGTTCCTTCGCTCCCTTATGCGGTTTTTCTTCACATAAATGCACAAAATCCTCCTTACATTTTTGGCTTCAGCCACCTAGTTCTCACTGCTGGAATATACCCATCTCCAATTTCCTGCTCTCCATCATAATGTCATACAAACCTAACTCCCAACAAGCTTACAGTGGTTTATCAACCTCCTCCATCACTGTCCCATGTCCATTTTTCTCACACATCCCTTGTCAAAGTGCAGTGGGATCTTTTCCAACAATGAAAATATGCCAGTGGGTGTGATTACAATTTGTGATGATTAAGAACCTAATTTAAAATTGCAAATGACATTTAAAAAGCCATAAGCTAAAAAGTCATTGGCAAAGGAGTCTTTTTTTTTCAAAGCCATGGCTATATTTGCAACTGGCAGATATTGAATGTTGAAAATGAAAGTGAAGAAATGAGACTGTTCCCAACTCACACTCTGCCATTCCTGGTCTTGGTCTTTCAGAGCAGCCTTCATTTTCTGTAACTCCTCATATCTCAGTGATTTAAGAATTCCAATGGAATCTTCAGACACGTCGTTGAGTGATTTACTCCTAAATTAGAAAGGTATATTCAATAGCCATTAGAGAAAAATAAATCAATCAATGTAGAGTCATGTAGACAGGAGCATTAATCATGGACTTGGAGAAAATAGTTCCGTTATGTGTAATTGGGCATTTTTACTCAAGCAGAGAACTGTGTGTTTCCGTAATTAGGTTACAATGTCTCCCAATACAATTACACAAAGAATAAACTGCATCTCATCAATGAACTAGCATGTTGGTTTTCTGGAAAAATGTAATATTACACAATTAGCCAAGAAATTCACTGTAGGCCTCCGTCAATATGCTTCCAGCAGCACTTAATATTTGGTTGCAACCTTTCTGGGTTCTTCAAGTTAGTTACATTGCCACTAAAACTATGGCAATTAATTGAGTGCTTGCACAAATATCTCAAAAGCTTTGCTTAGCATTAACGTTCTTTTGTCAAAATTCATTAACTACATCTGATTGAGAAACCATCATCATGTGGATGAAGCGAAACTGCAAGGTTTGTGCTTTTGCGAGGCATTTAAAAACCCGAAGCAACTTTAAATGAAATTTATCAATGCCCCCACAGCACATCTGAACAGAAGCATGATATTGTACAGGTGCTGCTGCGAGAAGGGGTTCTCAACTGAGTAATTAGCGGCAAAGGCAAGATGATTTCTAGGGGTCTATCAAAAATGAGAATGTCGGAAAAAGAGACAAATATGCCCACAAATTAACCACTTACTACAGTGCTTTGCTTTTCTCTCTCCCAGTGAGACCCTACTGAGGCTTGAAAATTCTCATGGCCCCTCGTAGACAGGCCGGGTGGACAAAAGGGAAGATTTACGATAACAGAAGGAAGGTTGTGGGGGTGGGGTGAAAATGATAAAAGGAGCAGGAAAGAAGTTTACCATTGCTTTATCAGAGCTCAACCTCAACATTTTAGCCCATGACCACATACACAGGGTCCTGTAAATCAATATGTATCGTTTAACACATCTAAATGCATCACAGTGCAAGGCTGATTGATTATCTTAAATTTATTTCCAATATAATTCTTAGCCCAGTTCGGATTATTTAATAAATGATTGCCAATAGCAGATTCACATCTTAATGTGGGCATATTTTTGAGGCTTGTAAGCACAGGCTGGTTGAGCACGATCAGCATACTGCCCATCATGAACAGTCAACAGGACATGCCGTTTGATATGGTCCACCAGTTTTTGGGATCTATAGACTACATTGCTGGAAGCACACCAGCACTGAGTCAGAGAGATGCATTTGCATGTACTGTAAGCTACATAGGGATTCCCGGTTTAATGTAGGCAAAGAAATTCGTACTTACCTCGTCATGACAAAAGGGGTCCTACAGGCAGCCAATCTCTGTTGCGTTCCCATGGCAACACCCTGACTAATCAAAATCTACCTGCCTAGACTGAGAATTACGATTGACAGTTAACTGTTCTTGTTGCATCCACAGGCCAACGATGGCCCAAACAATCAGCAGCTTCTTCTCATCCTGTATAAATAGGTATCTTTCTTCCCCCAGGTCAGTTTCTTGCATCCTAGTCTTGATGAGTGCAAGACAAACCGTTTCAACGCCATGTCTCCTTTCACCAATGTTTTTAAAAAGAGTCTCTTATTCCTTCCCAAAGGAGTTGATCGGCCCACGCACCCTTGCTCTTCTTCAAAATAGTGTCAAGCTCAGGTGTTGCATTGGAGTGTCCAAGGAGTCAGCCTAGAGTTTTGTGCTCAAGCCCTGGAATTGCTGGAGTGCAACCGAGTGAACCACACCTAACATGTTGAGAGTTGTTGCCAGGCAACAGCACCGAGTTACATATTAAACAAGTAACACAATCCTAATAATCAACATATTTTTGATTGTATTAATCATTTTTATACAGAAATAATATTCGTGGTTTAAAGAGGGTGGTGGAATTGTTAAACAACGAGAGGGATGGGGTTCTGAAGTGGAGAAAATTGAGAAACCCTGGCTTAGATATTTAAGTTTAGTGTACTGTAAAAAAAAAACTGCAATGTTCATATCAGACACTAGGGGAGACCAGTGATGCAATTTAACAACAAATGGTCAAATCATTGTTCAGAAATTTTCCCTGGCCAGTATTGAAACAAATCTATTAATGCCTCAGCTGAAAAAACGACTGCTCCACAAAAAAAAGTTAGAATCTGTGGAAGTATAACCCGCACGGTCAAATTATTTTGCTTGCCTCAGCTTAGCACAACTGAGAAGAAAAGACTGCTCGCACATATACTGGCTACTTAGTGAACAGAAACATTGAGCTTCAAAGTAATTATCCTGTTCAGCAAATCTGTGAGCACGCTTATCCGGGAATTCTTGATAGTTTAACACGTCTGAAGATTTCTGCAATTTGGACTTGTTTGAATTCTCTTTAATTTACAAAGAAACGTGTTATTAGTTACCAAGTTAGTACTGAAAATCATAAAAGATACTCAACTGAAACAAAGATTTGAAACACGCTGCTTTGTGTATGTGACAAGTTGAAATGCTACCAAAGAGGATGGGTAACCTGTGTGGTCTCAGTGTCAGACAGAGGGTAAGGAATATAAGATCAATATCAACTAATATTAGATGACCATTCTCTGATCAGCTTGGATGCCAAGAATACCCTAACTAGAAATACCACGAGGCATGAGAAATCCAAAAAGACTCCCTGTCACCCAGTAAATAACAAAATAAAAAGACCAAAGCTATTACTTCATGGGACAAAAAAGTATCCAAGACAATAATAGAACAGGTGTATGACATAGTAGTGCATTCAGGTGCATACTTTGTGTTTACTGTAGAATTTAGGATACATATTACAACTGAGCAATTGTTAAGTGACCATGCAACTAACTGTTAACACATCATCAGCCAAAGTCAAATCAAGCTGCAAGTAAGCCAAACGTTGCTTTGCACCTGTTCTGCCAAACCAACTGCAATATACAGCTATTTTTGACCATCACCACTTAGCATGCCAGCTACATTAGTTGCATATCATATTCTAACAGCTGCGACACTGACCTCAGGAGTTCTTAACTTTACACTAGATTTGTAAAGAATTCGTAATAAATTGTCTAAACAATGAAGTGAAGCACATAGAAAAGAGCAGTGCAGTGACAGAGAATAGCAGGCCACACACATAGGTGTCAATTTTAGAATTAACAGACCTTTAAATGTGATTAACCTAATTGAGCCTTGGCTCCTGTTAACTGTCATTGAAACAATTATGCTTGGATTTTTTTAAGCAAACAAACTCACTCCATTATATGAATGCTCTCTTGTCTATTGTACTTAGACATACTGAGAAGCACAGAAGATGGCAGGAGTTAGAGGCAGCTTTTAATCCAAACAGGAATGCAATGTTTCAATTTTTTGATTTACGTACTAAGTATTTATGAAAAATTTGGCAAACTAAACTAAGGGAGGCTAAAAATCATTAACTTTTTGAAAAAAACATCCATAGTAAATTAATCTTGAGATTTTAACAGAAAATGAACCAATCTGGTTTATTATTCTCCCACAAGACCCAACAGGATTGTGATAAATTGTTTGATCTTTACACAAGTACTGGCCAATGGCACCAGTTGAGGGAGGATGCGTGTGAAGAGAGGAGAGGGCATTGCCTGGATAGCTGGTTTGTGATGCCAAGCAATGGCAACAGGGTGGGTTCAATTCCCACACCAGCTGAGGTTACAGTGAAGGACTCTCCTTCTCACTCTCACCCCTCACCTGAGGTGTGTTGACCTTCAGGTTAAATCCAACATCAGTCATGCCTCTCTAACGAGAGAGCAGCCCTACAGTCCTCTGGGGCTACAGCAAATTTACCTACACTGACACCAAGTCAGTATGAGTTATTTTACCCATATTCTGCTCCTCTTCTTAAAAAAAAAAGAAATGCAGGTTTTGTAGTCAGTAATCAAAAATATTATGAATGCAAGTACCATTTTAAGAGTGAATATCTTGGAAGTTCATTTGTATTGCACTAAAAATCTGAGCTGTCTTTAAGGCAGAATTTATTTTAATTGATCTCAATTACAAGTCAGTGGACTAAATGTGAAGAGGATCTTTTAACATAAACCTCATCGTTCACTTGTCTGCTATAGGTTAAAGCTGCATTAGCTTCAATATGCTGTTTTATTATATTGCCTGCTGCATACAGCCAAAAGCACACAACTGCAAACTTACTGGACATTCTAAACAGATTGAATGCATCAGGATATGAAACCGACAAGAGAACGAGAATTAAACTCTCAGCTGAGAGTTTATCAGCACATTACTTCATTAGTCTTATTTTGCAAGCAGGTTATGTTTGTTTAGCACATAGAAGCACAGTACAAAACACACATTGCACACATACAGCTAAGCACTTTAGACTTGGTTAAACTTACCCTAAATCACTATCAGCTGACCTTTGGAGAAGTCTAAAGAATTGAAGAGAATCAATAAAAACAAAATGTAACATTTAACACCGCAAAGTGGGTTACAATAAGGTGGTTCCAGTTGTAAACTTAGGTGTGTGTTATTTTGGAATAGACTCTCACACTATGGAAACAGACCCTTCGGTCCAACCAGTCCACACCATCCATGTTCCCAAACTAAACTAACAAGTTGCACCCAAATAATCTGTCTATATCAGATTTTGCTAATTATCTACTGTTGATTAAATGTCAACTTCATATCAGAAATAAATATGTTAGATTATCTGAAATTTAGATATGCAAAAAATATTTTGCAAATATAAGACACCAAAAATATATTTTGAAGTCATCTCATCTGGGTGGAATTAATATCAATGAATGGTAATGTTAAAAGCGCAACTGATATCAAAGCTCTAAAATATTGCTACAAATTCAAACACGTTTGAAGATGTTGTGTATAGATTGCCATCTCTAACACCGACTTAAACAAAATGACATGCTAGTCCTTTAGTTTATACATCAATATGTAGGCATGGATCGTGTACTTCAAATTAACAAGAGATTGCAAATGAATGCAACAGGTTTTTAAAATCTTACTACATAACTAACATAAACTAAGCATTTGATGAAGGGGGACAATTGATCTCAGTCTTACTGTTATCGATCTTTGAGAGATATACAAAGTATTATGAAACACCCAATATCTTATTGCCACTTTTATTGAGTTCCAAATACAATTGCTGCTGTATTACAATTTCAGTATTAAACAAACTCAGCGTCGTTATGAAGAATTAACATTTGTAAAATCAGTTTCAAGCATGCAAAATTGTATTAAAACAGGGCACACATGAAAATTATCATATGTTGATAAAAAGCCAATGTCATGCTGCAACTAGTACTCTATTTGAACATTTCTTTGTGGAAGGGTAACAGTTAGATGTTGCTACTATTTAAAATCTGAGTTCACTTTATATTCTCCAATCCTTTTCCAGTTATCATGCTCACCTGTTTTAGAACATTTTCAAATAGTTAAATGGAGACCAATACTTACTACCAACTTGCTTTGAAGGTAGTTAGACAGAGATCAGATATGGTTTCAATCTTTTATCCCCATCTTGTTAGATTCTGGGGGGTGTTGTGTATTATTTTAGGATCCTGTTGTTGCTTGACCTCATCAAACCTTTATAGATTGTCAATGTTTTCAAAAGCCAGAGTTGCAAACGTCCACAATCTAAGCAACAAGGGGTTGGTCTGACGTGGCCATTTCGAAAGCCACACTGATTACCAGGGATTAAGCCACTCCTTTCAGAGTAATGGATAACTTAATAAAATATAACGTGACAATTTCAGAAAGTGCTGGACAATATGGTAGAAGGTCAGTGTGCTCTAAGTCAAATACATTGCCAAACAAATTTTAAGCCACACTAAAAGATCATCAGTGCTGAATTACTTTCTCCTTTTATCTTAGGAGAGGTTTGGGAAGAAAGAAAATCGCATTACAATACAAGGTAAATTTCATTGTTCTGCTTTCTCTTTCATAGAGTCATACAGCACGGAAACAGACCCTTTGGCCCAAGCAGTCCATGCCGACCATAATCTCACGCTAAACTAGTCCCCACCTCCTGCACATTGCCCATATCCCTCCAAACATTTCTTATTCATGTACTTAACTAAGTGTCTTTAAAACATTGTAACTGTACCCACATCCACTACTTTTTCTGGAAGTTCATTCCACACATGAACCACTATAAAAAATAGCCCTCATGATTTTTCAACTTTCTCCTCTCACATTAAAAAATGTGCTCCCAGTCTTAAAACCCCCACCTTTGAGAGAAGGCATCTACCATTCACCTTATCTAAACCCTTCACGATTTTATAAACCTCTATAAAGGTCACATCTCAACCTCCCATGCTCCAGTGAATAAAGTCCCAGTCTATCCAGCCTCTCCTTATAACTCAAACCCTCCATTCCCAACAACATCCTGGTAAATCTCTTGCTAACTCTCTCCAGCTTAATAATATCCTTCCTATAACAGGACAACCAAAACTGGACACAGTACCCCAGAAGAGGCCTCACCATCATCATATACTCAAAGGTCTGAGCAATGTTTGTGGTATAGTACAAGCGAGATTATGGAGGCTGAATGTAATGCAGACCCCAAAAGCCAACTATGGTAAACACATCACCATCCACAAAGTATTGGGATCTCTAGAGATTTGCACCACTATCATTTTAATATCTGCCCCCTTGCTGATATGCAAATTAGCCTTCAATACAACTAGTCTCTATCACATTTGCTTTGCCCCATCGTTTTTCCTGTCATTTAATCTTTCCTGTCTTCCACCCTGTCACAGACTTCTCCTTTTACTCTATCCTCCACTCTTGACTTTCTATGCCTTTGGATCTGGTTAAAACTGATTCCATCTCTGACCTTTTGCAGCTCTGATGAAACGCCATTGATCTAAAGTGTTAATTTTTCTTTTCTCTCCACACAGACTTGTGCGTTTATTTCAGATTTTCAGCATGTACATTTTGTTTTCCAATGAAAATACTTTTATTCTGCACGGAAAAAGACTGTACCACGAGATACTGAAAACGTGATGCCCCAGGAGTTAAATTTTATTGGGGAAAGAGGGGCCTATTTCTCATGTCTCCCACCCATGATGAAATGCCAGACATGTTAACCAAGTCCATCCCACAGCAGTAAAGCACTGGTGATGGCTTTACATTGGAAAACTTAGACCCCTCAGTGGGGCAAGTTCCAACGTCAAAGCTACCAGTCATTTGATTGACTATCTGATCCTCGGTGCCAACACCGAGTTGTGGAATCTGTTGTGATTGTAACTGGGAATAACAGCATCCCCTGGTATCCATAACAGAGCAAGTCCCAGGACTAGCCAGCCCAGGGTGGTGGTCATTGGTATGGGTAGGGGAGAAGAAAAAGAGCGAGAGAAAAACAGTCCTTCATACCCTTTCATTTTCAAAAAAAAAGTGATATACCTACTCAATTATGAAATCGTTATGGATCAGGGGGTGGTCATTCATCCCATCATATCTGAACCAGCAAGGTACAGCCTTGCTCCTTATCCCTGCACATTCATTCATTTCAAATGATTGTCTAACACCCTCTTGAATGCCTCAAATTTCACCATATCATGGGATGAGCATCGTAACATTTCAGTTCATTAGCTTTACAAGCTCAATTGCCCATTAATCTTATCAACAATCGTCATGCCAGTTCCCAGCTACCTACTAATTCGAGAGAAATGGATAGGGAATGAACAGAGAGCCAGTGGTCAGGCCATCCACTGAAAACACACCCAACAGGGAGGCTGTAAAATCCAGTGCAGATATCCCCTTCATGTAACAGACATTTATTGAAACATTAGGGGCAGCACAATAGCTCAGTGGTTAGCACCGCTGCTTCACAGCACCAGGGACCCAGGTTCGATTGCACCCTCAGGTGACTGTCTGTGTTTCCTCTGGGCGCTCTGGTTTCCTCCCACAGTCTGAAGATGTGCAGGTTAGGTGGATTGGCCATGCTAAATTGCCCATAGTATCCAGGGATGTGTAGGTTAGGTGTGTTAGCCCTGGGAAATATGGAGTAAGGGGATGGGTCTATGTGTGACAGTTGGAGTGGACTCGTTAGGCTGAAAGCCCTGCTTCTACACTGTAGGGATTCTATGGAGTTTTTCTCCTGCTTTACCACTAGTGCAAATATTTCACTATATTTCCAATATCATATCTATAAAATATCTTAAAAGGTGCCTACTTTTGTTTGTGCTGTATTTTGTCTAGAGCACAAATAGTTGAAGATATTGGAAAAAAAATGTTAATTTCTTGCAATATATTTCTGCAACTGCAAGATGATAAACGTAAAAGCAATTCTCCCAAATTATGGATTGACTACTACACCATGAATAACAGTCACTGTGCCAATGTACAAAAATTAAGCACTTCATTTATTATTCTTTATAGAGGTGGATAGTGTCATTCGATCACTAGTGACTGCAAATATTGCTGGCTATTCTTGTCACGTTTGAAACGCCAATCCTGGGATAATCATTAAACATCTGATGAAGTGTCATGTCATGCTTGGTTGGGAAAGGATAAGTGAAAGAAACCAGTACAAAACATCTTATATTAGAACAAGTCAACGTTACAGAAATTCTACAAGTTCACTCTTCATGCATGATTTAGTCCATGACAGGGATTTGTCTTATTCGGTTCAGAGACATGGATGGAACGCACATTTATAGCTACAACACCCCCTGACCTCTCAACCAGCTGCCGCTTCTTGTATCTTAATCTGCTGGCCTCCCTTATAGTCTCCCACTTCTTTGCATCCTCCTCACTACATGAGCCAGGAGCAAAGTTTCGACAGTGTAACGTTTGGTTAGCCTGGGACAAAGCCATTCTACGAGAAAGCATGTCATCCTTTACTGGGCATGGCAATGTATTCACACACGTTTCTGCCTCTTCAGAAACTTGGTCGGGTAGACAAAGGAACCTGGAGCGGAGTGATACAGGCAAGCTCGAGAAATCTGGAAAAGGAATTGGATTGTAGATGTCTGGAGCACCTGATGGCAACATTTGCTTTGTTTGAGAAAAGCGTTCTTTCCTAAGAACCACATCGTCTTTCTCGGGATCCGGAATTATAGTTTTGTCTCTTCGTTCCTGCGCAACGAGACGCTCAATTGAGTCATTTGATCCAGTATTGGTTCGATCTTCACAGCACAAAGGTTTCAGGTCAGGATTCACGTGAAAAGCACCAGTTTTACGGCTGAACATGTCGTCATTTTCCAAATCTGGTTCCAATTCCTGGTTGGCTTCCTCCTCCTGCTTGGCAGAATGGGACTGCTGAGTCAGGGAGGAATTTTGTTTCTGTCTTAGAATTCTAGGACCTGCAGTTGGGTCGACCTTTGATCTGGAAACCGAGAAGTCTGCCAATTCAGAATAAGTAGCACTTGCATCTAGAGCTTGACGTAGTGGAAACAGGCTT